GGACCCGACTCATAGTGACTCCTCCTTGGGTTTCCGAGGCAGTATCACTATGGAAATAGATTGCCCCATCTTCCTTCTGAGGCGTGGCTGGTGGGTTTGAACCACCAGCCTTCTATTTAGCAATCAAATGCCTTAGGCACTACGCTAACAGAGGTCCTGAGCTGGGTCAGCATAGGGACAGAGGAATTGACTGACCAGAGAGGAGGAGGAAGAGCACCGAGATGACAATGACAGGTTGAGCAGGGATGGGAAAAGGGTGTGTTGAGGAGACAAAATAGGAGCTATCCATTTGGAATTTGATATTGGGAATAAAAATATTATCATGCAAAATAAAAGTAGAGCTCATGTTGATATTTCTACATATGTATTTGTATGTGCTATAAGAATCTCCATATATATAATAGAGTTAACAGACAAAGTTAGAACTTCTTAGCCACAGCCAACCACCCTGAGGGAGTGGGCCCTTGGGTTCGGGACCATGGTCACAGGGGACATTGAGCTCAATTGGCATGACATACCACACAAAAACATTGTTCTCTATCCTACTTTGGTGAGTAGTGACTAGGGTCTTAAAAGCTTGCAAGTGGCCATCTAAGATGCAACAATTGGTCTCTCCTCATCAGGAGCAAAGAAGAATGAAGAAAAACAAAGACACATGGAAATAATTAGTCCAACGAACTAGTGGACCATGTGAACCTCAGCCTATATGACTCTGAGACCAGAAGACCTAGATGGTGCCTGGCTATCACTGTCAATCACTTGGAAAGGGATTTAGTATAGGAGATCCTGGACAGAGTGGGAGAAAAATGTGGAACAAAACTTAATCATAAAAAAGACCAGGCTTACTGGTCTCATAGAGATTGATGGAAACCCCTAAGATGATGGGCCCTAGTCACCCTTTGGGCCTGGAATTGAACCCACTCCTGCAGCTTCCAGCCAAAGGACAGGCAGACATAGAAGGTGAACATTTTACACCAGGTAGGAATAGTCCTTAAAGCCATCAACCATGGGAGATCAAAAGGTCAGTATCTGCATAGGGAAACAGCTCAGAGGGCAGGAATGCTTAGGAAAGGACACAGGGAAAGGGTAACCATAGGGAGGAAGTGGGAAGAAAGCTGTTACATTATGGGGATTGCAATCAATGCCATGAAACAAAATATGTATAAACTGTTATATGGAAAATGAATCTGCTCTATAAACTTTCACCCAAATTACAACATTAAAAAAAAAAAGCAGAGCTCATGCTAGGTTTTGAGTTGGAAGGCAGTCAGATAAACATCAGACACGTATTAGATTCCTGATAAGGAGACACCTAGTAAAAAGAAGAGTTTTATAAAGATTAACTGTCAGGGGCCTTTGCATGAAGAGGAGAAGAATAAGTCTACAGTCAGAAAGGCCAACTGGCTTCATTATGAAGGGTTGAGTGTCTATGTAAACCAAGACGGTGGCTGTAGGAATGAAGAAAGGTGACACCTTAGAGACAATGTAAACAAGCCAAGAAGATCAGGAGAGTAAGACTGGTGGTGATAGGAATCGACAGGTTAACAAAGACATATTGAAGGACTTCTAATAGAGATGGTCTATATGCAATTGGAAACACAGTACAAGAATATGCTCCTTTGAAAAACCATCTGAAAATAATTTTATATTTTTATTATATGTCTGTCTGTTGTGTGTGTACAGAGAAAAAATCAAGTTGGCTGACAGGAAAACCTCATTGCTTGACTCACTGGTGACTAATGCTCTACTGTATTTATTCCCATGGGTCAGAGTCATAGTGTCTAAATGGCATGAACATATTGAGTTATATAATTGTCCTAAAAATCTGGAGAAAGTTTCTTGGTATGTTACACCTTTCAGAGTTTCATAAGAGAAATATTCAGAACGACATCTGCTTATATTCATAAAGAGTAAGCAAATGGAGTATGGTGGTAAAGATCAGTCACTAGTTGAAATGTAACAGGCACTCAAGCCAGTGTTGAATGAACAAATTAATAAATACTGACACAATTAATCTACAGAGAATAATGGATTCAGAAGTTTTAGGCACTTGTAAAGGGCTAGCTGATAGGGTGAAATGAACAAAGGGACACACTTCTATAGGCTGAGCTGAAATAGAAGAGCAGGCTATCTTACTCCTGCAACGTTTATGAACTTTGGACAACATATATGTTCAAAAAAAAAATCATAAAATATACACTTTCAGCTTGAAAGATGGGGAAATCATTGGGTACAAGAAATAAGAAGTTAAAAGCCAGTAGCATGTAGAAGCTAATGTTAAGGTGATTCTTGTAAAGATGATCAACCCTAGTGGATTTCAATGTACACACGAGTTGAACCTTGGGCCTTGGGCCTATTCAAGGTGAGAAAGCTGGAACTGATATCCTGCATAAAGCCCTGAGCTTTAAAGGGCGGCTGTCCATGCAAAGAGGATAGGAAACTCTCCTCCTAAACTCTAACCTGTGCCGCTGTTAGGTGTGAGATCCAAATTTACACAGTGGCAGAAGAATATTAATACTAGAAGTTAGCCTAAAAGTTAGTGCAGGAAACATACAAGATCTTGGTGGAGAACAACATGAAACAGATCTGCTGGGGCATTTCTACTATTGAGGACATATAGAACTCTCAAAGAAAAAGACCATCCCTTCTGAAACTGAGTAAGAAATGCAAAGTTACAAAATTACAAATCACATAAGGAAATAAATCATAGCCCCAATAGATGAACAAATAAAAAAGAACTTGTAACTCACAAACTGAAGAGAGCCAAACAATATGAAACAACCTGAAAGGGAGTATCAAAGAAGTATGCTGAAAATTATTAAAAAATAAAACCATGTGAACAAAAAACAGTATGAAAAAACAGCAGGTAAAGTGAAAAGGGAATAAAACAGACCTTCTAAAAATGAAAAATACAGCCATTGAACTGAAAAACTCAGTGTGGTAGTACTTGGCTGGGCCTGGTTGAATGGCTGGGCAGCTGGATGTAGTATTCCCCATGACGACACAGGTAATCAACTCCATGGTGGAATCTACTGGGAGCAGCTGAATAGCTGCCTTAGGGAATGTGGTCAGCATCCCGTATATAAGAAACAGCTTTGGGAATGGTCTCTAGCTTATGGCACGCTTGAACCCTGCACGTAGCCATGACATTGTTCAGCAGCCTGCCATACTCTGCCTATCTTGGGACTTTTAATGGACTTGAATTAACGGCAGGCTGTGTGGTTTGGGAGTATCGGGACTATGCCTTATTACTTGTCGACCTTGGGCTTGTCAGCCTCAGCAGCCAGCAGCTGACTGAAGAAAAGCCTCCAGCTTCAGTGGGCTGGGAACAGCAGGAGGCAGAGGTGAAACCCAGGGTTGAGGGGCTTTCACCCAAGCCCTAGAGTCTGGCACTTTGAACTTGAACTTAAAGCCTCCAAACTGTAAGAGAATAAACTTCTGTTTCTTCAAGCCATCCTTTTTGTGGTATATTCTTGCCACAGTGGCACTAGGTAACCAGAACACCTGTGAGTTGATCAAACACCACATTAGATACAGAGAAAGATGGAATGGCCGAATGAGAGGACAAGGAAGGGCAATATTCACATAGAAAATGGCTGAAGAGTTTTCCAGAACTGATGAAAGTTATACATACATAGATTCACAAATCATCATGAATCCCAAATGGGATTAAAACAAACCCCCACACCTAGACACACTGTCTTTGACATTCTGCAATTCCTAGATAGAAGAAGTATCTTTAGCCAGAGAGAAAAAAGAGATTATCAACTAAGGAATGACAATTATACTGACAGCTCATTTCTTTATGTTGTTGTTGTTCAGTGCCATCGAGTCGTTTCCAACTCATAGCGACCCCATGCACAGAACGTTTTATATAAACGTTTATAAAGAATATTTCTTTATATCAACAATGAAATCTAAAGGTAACAGATCTATATATTCAAAGTGCTAAGAGAAAAATAATCAACTAGAAATTTATGCCCAATGAATTAATCTCTTAGGAATAAAGGCAAAAATTATTTTCAGACAAATGAAAAAAGACTTTATTTCCAATAAATCCTCATTAAAAGAGCATCTAATGGGTGTACTTTAGGAGGAAGAAAACTGATCCCGGAGGGAGATGTGAAGGGCTGTAAGGGGGAATGGTGTGCAAAGAAATTATAAATAAGCGGTTAAATCTAAAAAAAAAAAAAAAAAAAAAATCAATTATATAAAATAAAATAATGATGTTTAATTGATGAGGTTAAAAAATAACTAAATACCAAATAAAAGTAATATATAAGCCATGAGAAGGGTAACTGAAGTTAAAGAATTCTAAGGCACAAATTAAAATACAGAAATTGTATCAGGAATCACAGTAAACCGACTAAACTCTAGTTAAAAAAAAAAAAAAAAAAAAAAGACTGTCAGATTGGACAGAATTATTTAGTTGTAAGCTATTTGCAAAAGACAAACCTATAGCATAAAGACATAAAGTAAAAGAATAGAAAAAGATTACGAACCAAAAGAAAGCACGTATATGTTTAAGAAAAAAAGACATTAGAGATAAGAAGGTTGCTATACAATGTTCAATTCATTAATAAATACAGAATTCTAAACTTTGATCCATTTAAGACCACCTGACAGAACTTGAAGGAACTAAATAACCGATTTACCATCATGATGGGAGAATTTAGCACACTTGTCATGATAACTGGTAATCAATATTTAAGTTATACAGATGCAAAAGATTTGAACAACACATCAATAACTTTAATCAAATGAGTTTGTATTTTACAAGCACAAAATAATTAGAGAATGCTTCCGCAAATTTCAAAGAATTGATGTGATCATCTAGATATCAAATGGACATCATTGTAATATTAAAAATAATCCTAAAGAAGTTGGTTCTACTTAATGTCAACAACAGTACATTTTTTGACGCTATGTGCATCAGCCATTTCCCTAAGCACTAGTGAAGAGACAGCGGAACACACAAACACAGTCTGTATCTATAGGGCATTTTAAACATGGTTTCAATGAATTGTCTAGTGTTCAAAAGATGAAATGAAGCTGACTGAAGCCTGCATAACTTTAATATTTGAAAAATTTTATCCAGAAATTTACAACTTAATATAATACAGATTTGTACAAAAAGAGGGACTGTTAAAATCATCTGATTGATCATACAGACAAAAATATGATTAAGCAAAGATTAAAAAAGGACATTTGTAAATACTGATAAATACTGTGCAATGCTTTAATTTACTGTGGCAGATACAAAAATCAAGAATTCATTAACAGATTACATTTAAAAAGTAACTATATGAATTTTCTAGGCTGTTTAAGTTAATGAAATATAACGTTTGTTTTTTTTCTTTTTAAAAAATGAGGTATTATTACACTGTAAACCAAAAACAGAGCATAAATAAATAAAGGCAATGTGCAATTTAGTGATATATGGTTTATACATTTCAACTTAATAAAAACAGACAACAAAAAATTTTCAGTTATTTATGAACTTTGTCATTAAAAAATTTGGCTTGCTTGTGTATTTTTATTTAAAAGTGGCACAGCTATCAATATACAAGCACATCATTAAACATGCAGACCAAGCCAATACAATTTTCCATGAGTCATTACTACCAAATAAAAACTGTGTTTACATATCACTTAAAACACTTAAATCTGGTTTCCTATACATAATTCTTTTGTGCTTATTAGTTAAAATTAACCTACATTAAACATCTTACTTTCTAGTTCAAGCACTGTGAGAAGCAGTTTTATTTTGCCTATGGATTGAAAACAGCAAAACCAAACCAAATCAATATGCCTTTAACTCTCAGGCTTTCCAAGATTTTTAAGAATAAAAACCCTTTAAGTAGTATACCCAAAAGGAAAAGCAGAGCCACTTCCATTTCAAAGAGAACAGTAGAAAGTAGCTCCATTTCCACAAAGATTTGTGAGTTGGCCTCCCGACTACAGGAGAACAAGCTGACTAGCTCCTCCACCCTTGAAGGATTCTGCTGGTTGGGTGCAGGAAGCAAAGCAACAAGAAAATAGCCTAACTCAGAAAAAACACTGGGAAGGTATTATTTGCATGTGAACCATATGCTGGTACTAAATGCTGGCGTCATTATTATTGCAACTATAACTTCAGAGTTTCTGAAGGAAAGCTATCAGAGTGTAATAGAGAAGTCTTGAATTGGAAACATCTGTAACATGCTAGTAACACTGCTTCATCGACTGTTAATTAAGAGAAAAAGCCATTTACTGTCAGACTTTATTATAGAGTTTCTTTTGACATGCTACTTTATTAGAACACTCAAAAAAGGGTACTATTGAATTTAAAATGTTCAGAATCCAGTGAAAAACAAACATTTTCGCCAAAACGCTGAACTTCATTTTCACCAAACTACATCATTTTGACACAAATGTTATTATTATATTCACTTTTGTCAAATATCTTATCCTACCTTTTCCATAAATTAGTGTTTCAGTACAAGTGGTGATCAAAAAATATTAGAAATAAGTTCTGTACATCAATCAAAATATATATATATATAGAGATATATATATAAACTGTTCTTTTGTGCTTGTAATTGACTTAACTCATCAGTGATTAGTTAGATCTGTGTTTTTCTTCTAATAATGTGACCCTTAGGAAGAAAAGATCATTATACAAATATAACAGAGTACTCAAAGGAACTAGCTTACTGCCAATATGCATGCAGACTAACAATGATATTTAAAAGAATATAACCTTGAATCCAATTAGTCTGAAAATAGTTACACTCTTGTACAATCATCTTTATTGATTTGTAAAAGCTGTATACACATCTAAAACTCTGAATTTACTTTGTAAAAATAGATCTTTTGCAATAAATGGCACTATCAAAATCCCATGACCTCAGGCTATTAGGTAGTTATTTACATGCTTTTCAGCAATAGTTAAAAGAATCTTGTAGGACCAAAGCCAGTATATCAAAAAACCCTGTAAATTGCATTTGCAATTATACTGTTGCTTACCTCTGTATGAAAATATGGCTACATGCCTCCTATGAACGGTAACAGAGCACTCTGCTTTGCTACTGTGTGCTAGCAGCGCACCGTCTGCCACTGGGCACTACTCCACTCTGCACTGCGCTTTGCCCTCCCAGTGGAACACCTGTGACAAGCTGCTGCCGGGGAATGGGAAAGTGCTGTAAAAAGAGGGCCTGACCCACGTGTATCTTTGCCATCTGGTCTTTTCCTCAGTCAAGCAATTTCTGTGTTTTTAGAAAATCATGCTTTCATGGAAATACTTCATATTTGATTTTAGAAAATCAGTATTTTAAAGTTGGTGAGCTTTGTCAAGGTGTCTGAGACAGAAACATGAAAAGGTTAAAGGCACAATAAGAGGGAAGTGAATGCTACATATAAAAAGTATTGTATTTCAAGTCTTCTAGTTTACTCAAGTCCAAAACCTTCTGCATTTGAAATTCCAATAATCAATTTCTGTTTCAGGTCTTTTTTGCTCTTGTAGGGGGGCAGGCAAAGTTGATTGAAGCAGGTGTGGGCCACAGGTAACCTAGGAAAAAATAATTTTTTTTTTTAGTGTACACATAAAACGAGTCCTAAAAAACTCTGTAAAATACCAGGATACACACATACAAACCGACTTTACTACGCTGATATCTGTGATCCATTCCTTCACCGAGCAAATATTTACTGAGAACCCACCCTATATCATGCACCATTCCGGACACTTGGGCCATGTTTGAAAACAAGACAATCAGCATCCGTGCTCTCACGAAACTTTCATTTTAATGGCATTTTTTTTTTTTTTTGGAGTGAGACAGATCTGGGTTTGAATACTGTCTTCCTTACTTACTAGCTGTGGGACCTTGTTCAAGGTGCTTATGGTCTCCAAATCTCAGTTTCCTCAGCAGTATGATTGGGTAAACTATCCAACTGGATTGTTCAAAAGGTTAAATGAACTACTTCATAAAATACTTAGCAGAGTAGTAGACAATATAACTGTTACTATTATTTCCATCTTGACTGTCAAAAAACAATAAAAGGAGCATTTCTGGGACACTTGATGCCCACACTTTTAATATTGCTGCTCTCAATGAACATGCACCATTCAACCTTTTAATCCTTTCAGCCTGTTCCCTACTCCTCTTCCTGATGCTATTGTTATTTTCATTCAGGATTTTCTCCCTTAGACTCTTTCCTTCAGTCTTTACGAACTCCACAGCCTCAGAATAGCTGTCAAAGAAGTCAATGAATAAAAATGAGGAATAAAACAGAGAAAAGGAGAACGTTTAAGAACAAGTAAGCCTGTATGATTAGAAATTAAACTTTGAGTTCCACTGTATTAAGACTTCTTAAAGTTATTAGAGTCAGCATTTATTATTGAGTGCTTGCTTGGTCTATGACAAGCACTGTGCTTTCATATGCATCGTTTCACTTGACTTAAGCCTCAAAACAACCTAAAAGTACTTATGCTAATTTTCATTTTACAGAGGAGAAAAAAAAGACACATGTATATATACAAGTTCAATAATGTGTTTGAGGCCACTGAGCTGGTAAAGTAGCAGACCTGAAATGCAAACCTAGATCAGTCTGATTTTAAAGCCAGTGTTCTTGATGTGCAAAGATTTAACATGTTTATTTAACCAAGATTTAGTGGCTCTGCAATGGTGGGCCTCATAGGAGGAATAGAAATGCCCCTTTTTCTAAAGTACTGTCCTTCCCTCTTGAGGCACACTGTTGCTGTGTCAAGCTAACGTGTGTCATGTGTCTTTGATGGTAGACTCTCTTTAACAAAAAGGAGCTTCCTACTGGGTGTCCTAGAGCTGTCTGAGTTTTAGATTCATGTCTACGCCACCAGAATTCATCAAATAATCTCTGAAATATAATGATGATAACTGCAAAAGTTTAAACATAATGCTACCTTTGTATTAAAACAGACTATGTAGGTTATCCTTTTTAATCGACAATTTATTATTGCTGGGCGCCCCTGAGTCAGTTCTGAGCCACGGCAACCCTATGCACAGCCAAGCGAAGCACTGCTGGCCCCGGAGCCGTCGCCAGTCGCCGCCAGGCTCGAGCCCAGTGCCGCAGCCATGACGTCAGTCCGTCTGGTTGAGGATCGGCTTCTTTTTCACCGAACCTCTACTTTTCCAGGCATGGTGTCCTTTTCCGGGGACCAGTCCTTCCAGATAACGTGTCCAAAGTCCATGAGATGGAAGTCTCACCATCTTTACTTCTAAGGAGCCATCTTCACTCTGGCTGGGCTTCCTCCAAGACAGACTGTTCTTCTGGCAGTCTATGGCAGGTTCAATATTCTCTGCCAAAACCGTAATTCAGAGGCATCAATTCTTCTTCGGTCTTCCTTATTCACTGTCAGCTTTTGTCTGCATGAGGAGACTAAAACACCCTAACTTGGGTCAGGTGCACCTTAGTCCTCAAGGTGACATCTTTGCTATTGAACAGTTTTTTTTTTTTTTAAATGGTATGATACTATTTTTAATAAAGCTCAAAAAGAAGCAATATATTGTTTATATTGTTGAGGCCAAAGTGTATACTATACTGTTTTCAGAAGGAAACAACAACAACAAAACAGTTATCCTTGACTCATGGTGACCCCACGTGAGTCAAGAGTAGAATTATGCTCCAGAGGGTTTCCAATGGATGATTTTCCAGAAACAGATTTCCAGGCCTTTCTTCCTAGGTACCTCTGTGTAGACTCAAACCTCCAACCTTGCAATTAGCAACTAAGTACATTAATTGTTTGTACCACACAGGGACTCATTTTTATTTTTATTTATTTTTTTAAATTATGATTTGGGTGAAAATTTACAGAGCAAATTCACTTTCCATATAACAGTTCACATACACTTTGTCTCATGACATTGACCACAATTT